TAACAAAATACTTCAGACATTATGCACCTCAATAAATAAACCTTTACTATTGTAATAAAATCAATTGAAATCTTGATGAAAAGTTAAGGATTGTAGTTACGATTGTTCTTTTATGCTTATGTTTATTCTTACAATGTAATATAAAAAATTATTTGATCTAAGTGATTCATTTTGTTGCATGTTCAATAATTACATATTATTGGCATACTTCAAGTGATATGAATATAACATTAATATATTTGATGACTTCAAGATGGTTAAATTTCTGATAAATTATTATTAATGTAAAATTGATATTTAATGACATTGATATATAAATAGAATACACATAGTGTATATGCAAATACACATAATTATGCATTACAAGCACACACACATACATTATATATATATATATATATATATATATATATATATATATATATATATATATAGGGCTGCAAAAATATTACAAAATATATATATATATACATATATATATATATATATATATATATATATATATATATATATATATATATATATATATGTATGTATGTATATATTTATATACAGTGGTACTCCGCCTTACGACCTTAATTTATTCTGTAAGCACGCTCACATGTCGAATTGTTTGTACCTCGAAGCAATTTTGTCCATATAAATACATTGAAATGTTATTAATTCGTTCCACCACAATGTTTTTAATAAAAATAAGTGAAACATTTATAGCGAAGATCAAATACATATTTTGCAAAAACATAGCAAACCTCTGAATAAAAAATGGCAAAAATAAAATTATCATTAAACGAGTTTTTGAGTTTAAAGAAACTATTTGCATTGCAAGTTTAAAAAAAACTATGAGCATTATTTTTTTCTTCGACTCATTATAGTATTGAGAAAATGAGTTGGTCACGTCTCGTCAAACAATTCTGATGCTCGACCAGCTGCATTTTTTTCAGGGCAGTTTTTGTCCCATATTGCACAAATAAATACATAACATTAAAATTAATTAATTGAATGATTACTTCTATATAGATAGTTAAATGTGGCTTCACATACAAAAATCCTTGTTAAAATTGCGAGATGAATCTGTTTCGTTCTCGAATGCGCTAGGAGCGATTGGCTGCTAGTGATATGAGCGGCGTCGCTTCTTTGGCGAATTTTGCTCGTATAAAGATGCGGACGAGCCGAGCGGTCGACGGCTCGAATCTCGAAAATACGTATGACGAGTGGCTCGTATGGCGGAGAGACCACTATATAGTATATATATATATATATATATATATATATATATATATATATATACATATACTATATATATATATATATATATATATATATATATTTACCACGATTAAGCAAAATGTGGTACAACTAAATTATTTCTATATTAAATTTTTTATACCAAATCAAACACAATCTTGACTGAATTGTTTTAATATATCTATATTTAGTGACTCATAGCAATCAATTGCTTTAATGCTCCAATTTATAAATTTGAATAGTTACATTTTGCACTTTCTTTATTGTAGCATACAAACACATTCTTGCTACAATAAAGAAAGTGCAAAATGTAACTAATGTATATGCAAAATGTAAAATAGTAAAAGCTATCAAATAAATGTAGAAACTTCAACATATGAATAAACCTTCAAAAAAACTCGAAGATTTAAAATTTGTTCAAATACCACATAACACAAAAATTATATTTAAATATAGTAATTTATGTCTGAGCTATGAGTGTAAAAAATATTACCAGAATGAAGCAATATTAAACTGGAAAAGTTTGAAAAGTTGAATTTTGCTCATAAACATTTCTAATATTATACAAATAAAATGGTGTGTGTTAATGATGAAATAAAAAAAAATAATGTAAGGGGCAAGATATTACTGTATGATTAGGTATAAGTAAATCACTTTTCATTGAATTTAATTATGTCACATAAACACATAATTATGTAATCTTTGCATTATTATTTAAGTATCTAAAGCACAAGAATAGTTAACTATTCTTAACAAACTCACATTTAATTTTTTTAATAATTCATAAATCTATTGGCAGTATTATTTTCATTTTATTTATATTACAAGCGCATATTATGTTTATCATGTCAATATAAATTTTGTTTATCAATTTGTCTCAATTTTATTATGCGATTGTAACATAAACTTAGTACAGGATCGAGCACTTGGTGTTTCAAAATTTAAAACAATTTTGCATTATAAGCAGATGCCACGATTCTTTTACATATCATAACTTACAAAATAAGCACACTTTTGAATTGATTTATAATATTATATTTTGTTTGAGATCAACTAGAAATGAATTGTGCTAAAGTGATGTCTATGAGCTCCTACATATTTGAATTTTTTTATGAATTATTTCACCATTGATGCAAATTCTTATTGAAGCTGTAACAAAAATATTTTCATATCTCAATAAAAAGATATTATTCACAAACTGGTGGCAAAATTATATATGTAACTAAGTTTGTGCAAAAGAGAAATTTTTTTCACCAAAATAACTCTTCGAATTGCGCCATATTTAACTATTAGTTATTGATTAATCATTATATTTTTCTAAAATTTATACTGTATATACAGTATGTGTTTAGATCCTAACTTAATGCTAGACCACAATAATATTGATGATAGCTTGATTATTTGTTGATATTGCCACCAGCCAAATTATAAATTTCTAATATACTAAACAATTATATAGTTGTATTGTTACCCAATAAACTAATCATAAGTAATACAAATATATACGTTTTGTTATAAAAAAAAGTTGGATTTATTCAATAAAGCAAATTACAAAAACTAAACTCTTTTCATTATTATTTTAACCACCGACAGTCCTACAAAAATACATTCTAAAAATATTTAGATATTTTGCATTTGGAAGTTTTAGTATTCATTTTTTTTAAACCAAGTCAAAAAAAATAGAGCTTGTTTTGGAATAATTCCAATATATAGATTATTCCAATTATTATATATACTATATATTTAAAACAGTTTAATGTGATATAACCTAGTGAATCACAAAATAATATTGGTCATATTTATCTCTCTCCAAATTTTATTTATGAACATTCATAGTTATTCATAATATATTATTTAAGTAATGCAATACAAACTTGAGATTTGTTTAAAATAGATTATTAACCATATATGAAATGGTTCTATTAATTCTTAAAAAGGCTTAAATTTATATTATTAAATTTAAAATAGAGAGCACAAATTTTAGTATTTTCATTTCTTGATCAATAATATTGTCAAATTAACAAGTATTTTTAAAATACAAAACTGTGCTAGTATATTTGTTAAATTAAAGTAGTTACATGTAGTATATGTTTAGTCATAATAAATTTATACATATATAATATATGCTCCGTGTGCAAAATTATGTATCCAAATTCTTATTACACAAAAAAGTAAATTTTGAAATAAGTTTTACATATATAAAATAGTTCTTTGTCATCAGAATATTCTGCAAAATTAGTAATTGAAAGCCAAGGATTAGTTTGAAGTATGTGAAAATGTAGATTTCATATAAATTAAAAATAATAATCAATATTTAAACTGGTTATTCAATGGTCAAACTGTATTTACTAATAAAATCATTAGATTTTTTTTAAAATTATTTGAAGCACATGCATTCTATATAAATGTATTTATATTATTGCTTGTAATTTTCATTTTTAGAGAGCGTATTTATATTGTGATATGTGAGCATACCTCTTACAGAATACAACCTCTCATAATTAAAAATTTTTAATCTTTTAGATAGATTTACAATAATAATATTGTGATAAACAAAAAATAAAATTAATCACTCAATTTAATTAAAAAAACAGAATCATAGCACTTCTAAGTGGTAACTTATTATATATGTATATATTTATTACAAAGCTTATAATAAAATTAATACAATATTTATCACACATTTCAATTTTGGTCTCTCGACACAGTCATATATCACATTGCACATTAATATTCCTAATGAAAAATTTGCAAATGGCTTAGAATAATTGATTTCTGATTCTCATCTAGAACTGTTATATACATAAAATAATAAACCTACCTATAACCATGCTTAATTCATTTAAAAGATAATTCTTATGAAACTAACTAAGCCAGAAAATGGTTTCAGACAATGGTATCACATTTATTACATCTTATCAGATTACACTTACTATATTACATGATGGCAAAAGAATTGTACAATTACTATTAATCCTTTGTAACTTAATTCAAATGTAGCTATAAAAACGTGATATTGTTATATACTGATTTGAACAGAATCAATTAAAAAGATCATCATTATAATGACATAGGGAATTTAAAATTTAAAACATATAGTAGTACTTTGTAATTCACTGGTAAATGCTAAATGCACAGTTTATTGAAGCTCAGGATATCTATTTTTATATGTTGATGAGCACTATCTTTAAATATTTTAAAGGAGCAATTAAAAACAAAGAAAAAAATGTTTTTTTCATTTTCATTAGATATAAAATAGAAATTACATACATTCTTAGCTTTTAGAAGCTCTATATGTTTATAAAAGTTTATATATTTGATTTATACACTTGGAAAAATTGTTATTCACAATTACTGTTAATTTGTAAATTATGTGTTAATACAGTAAAAATAACTTAATAAATTACTTCCATTACTAACTTCATGATTAATTTTAAATGCAATTACCGTAGACAAATATTCAAATTTATAGCTGTTATTGAGAGAAAAATGTATCAAAGTTCTACACTACAAAATAATGTAATAATAAAAAAACAGTGAGCTTGTTCATCTGAATCATCCAATTAAAGGAGAAACACAGTAACAGATCAATTTGTTTAAAAATCAGATTATTTGACGATTGCCATTATATACATTATAGCATAAATCAAATAAATAAAAGAATATTTTTTTAATAATTAATTTTGATAATAGATATAACGTAGTTACAAAGGATTAACTAACAAAAATGAACAAATTAAAAATTACGTTGTCAGCCAAAATCTCATTTTCAATATCTTTAACTGTACGGTAACAGTGTATAGAAGCATATCATCGTGGCAACTGCTATACAAACATCGGTATGAATAAAAACATTCACGAATAAACATTTTTAATACACAAAAAGCATTATATTTCTTCAATCAGCCTGCATATTTCAATAGAACTACTCTCACTAACATTTAAAGAAATTACAATTCTGCACTTTACCAGAGGCATTTATTGAAGCAGTCCTTTAGTATGACTATTTGGCATACTGTCCGTATTACGTCGTATAAACTACTTGATAGTAAGTCACAATGTTTCACTTTATTAATAAATTTCACACCGAAATGCGTCGGTGGTTTAAGTCAATCAGTTCCATCCATTTTCTTTTATCATATGAGCTAGTTCTATGATATATTTTCCTTCTTTGTATTTCTGACTTGACTCAAATGCATGCTCCTAAAAACGTCATTTACTTATAAATGAAATAAAGCAACAACATGAAATAATTAATGCAAGTAGTTACTATATTTCTTTATTCGCCTGCCTTTTAAAAAGGTGGGAAAAGCAATAACAAGAGCACGATTTGATTGATATCATACACAACTTAAATTTTGATGTGAGTTCTTTAAGTACATGCAATTAAAAAAAATTATCTTAGTAATTATAAACTAGTGAGGTGCATGGCATCGTACCTTAAGGCAAATTGCTAGAACTTCCCGTACCGTAATTAAAAATCTTGGTACGGAACCCAAAAAAAATTTACACAAAATGTGTACACATTATTAAAATCTCTATAAAATATTTGATAATTTAATGTACATATGTCCAATAAACATTTTTGACCGTCAAATGACATTTTTTTAACTTATTTTTATTGAGAGTCCATAACCGCTGGACCTGCCTTCCAGTGGCAGATTAAGCTTACTGCTGTCCTAAGCCATATTTTCAATAGACAAAATTTTACTTTTTTAATTAAATGGTTTATTTTAAACTATTTAGATATAATTTTTAATTTCTCATATGGTCAGTTATAGTAATCGCAAAAGAATCCAAAATAATTTTCTGCATATCTCACGTTTCAAGTTCATCTGAGCATATTGGTATTCTTTTAAAATTATGATGTATGTGTATATACAGTTCAACAGCTGGAAACAGATCCAGCTGTTTCGTTATTGACCGATATTGACCGATATTGATATTGACCAATGTTGATTAATATTGATCAATATAGACCAATGTTGACCAATGTTGACCAATGTTGACCAATATTGACCGATATTGACCAATATTGACTAATATTGGCCGATATTGGCCGATATTGGCTGATATTGACCGATATTGACCAATGTTGACCGATATTTACCGATATTGACCGATATATATCAATACGCGGCGACGATCGGCCGAGCCGTTTCTTTGTAGCAAAAAATTTGAAAATATTTCGTCCGCGTTTGGAAGATATTGGTTGGGCACATATGCACATCAAATTATCAGATATTTTATAGAGATTTTAACAATAAGTATAAATTTTGTTTACAATTCTATGGGTTCCGTACCAATGTTTATCCGTTAGACGGCGACGCGGCGCTTACGCGCTTTGACTCTATGCAGTCAAAGCAGTACGATTGCTTTGAAAAAAAGTTCAAAATTTCCAAAATATATCAAAATAAAGAAAAAAATGTTAATTGTTTTTAAAAAAATTTTTCCTTTCGGTAGCTTTTTTTTTCAGTAGTGCAATTGAGTGGCACGCTGTTCCCGTACAGCAGCGACACTATCAATTGAAAAGTCAATAGAAAAGTCATATAATATTAAAATAATTATAAAAACTTACATATTTCCATCCGAGTGTAGTTTTACAGCACTCGCAATAAATGTCGGCAACAGCGTGAAGCCCCGTCAACAAAACACGTTCTTCGGCTGGACCACATCCCACGTTCACTCTGAAATGTATTTGAAATATAGGTGATTCATTCAATGATAAGAAGTTCTTTTGACAATTCTATTATCAACATTCACAGTAGCAAACAAAAAGTATTGTCAATTATGAATAGATTTAGGTATTTACAATTATTATACATCCAATTAAAATATCAACATTAGTATGAAAGTAACAACATTGATTAAACACAATATATTATTTACCATATACTATCAAACACTAGGTTCGTTATCAAGTGTGCACACACTATTATTTATTATTATAATACTAGTTTTAACAATCAGATTACAATACAATCTATCTATCTAAGTTAAAAGAGCACACACTGATAAAACGAGCTATATTGTTTTTCCATTAACATGAAACATTATTTGAACATATATACAATTTCATACTAGAGATATTTAACATTAAGCTTTATTTTCCACTAATAAATCAGATGGAAGTCCATTTTGTTATATAAAAAATACTTACACTGAATTAAATAAATAAGCCCGTCCCTGGCTTCCTTGAAACGACTGCAAAAGATAAGAATTAGTAGATCACTTTCAAGCAAATATATTTTTTATTTAAAGCAATATATATATATATATATATATATATATATATAATTTCTTGTACAGGTTGTGTTAACGCCTAACGCACAACCTTGTTTTAAGCAAATCTTATATTCTCATTTTTAACTTCCCGTAGGGCAAGTTATAGTAATCGTAAAAAAATCGAAAATGAAAACTTTTATATATCTTTACGTTTCAAAACCTTCTGAACATTTTGGCATACATTATAAAGAATTTCCAAAATATTTAAAAATAAATTTTTCTTCAAAAAGTCTTTTTTTCAAAAAAAAAGTATTTTTTTTAAAAAATGTATAGTTTATCAAAAATCTAATTTTTTCAGAGTAAATTTCTTTCAAAAATGTTAATCTTTTTTTAAAAAAAAATAGGTACGGGAAATTCCAGCAATTTGCCTTAAGGCACGATGCCATGCGCCCCACTATTTCAATTGAATATTCTCACGAAAACAAACTTCTCCTTCTGGACATTAATAAGTGAAAAAATACGAGAGAGTAGTTATTTCAAAATTAATTATTAAAGATAAAAATTCAAAAAAAATTACAAATAAACAAAAAAATCTTTAATTGTTGGTAACATACAAAATGATGCATGTACAAAGAGCGTGGCTCATCAACCCAGAATTTTGAATTTTTATAATTAAATCGCTTTTTGTAGGCCTATATAGTTTAAGATTTTCTCATCACTTTACGGCAAGAATTTGAATATTACCAGCGCTACTTATGTCAAAATTCAAATCAAAATACATTTATTAAGCCTATTGCTCTAACCTGTACAGACCACAGGCATTTTTGAAATACGAATTTATAAATTAACATTTATGAATGTGTATTTCATAAATCCTTATTATTCATTATCAGAATGCAATTATCAAAAGGTATTATCAGAAACCAATTATTAAAGCTAAAATAAATAATGATAACGTATAAAAACATAGCAATTTTTGTATTTGTACGAAGTCATAAACATTGATCAAATTTTTGTTTAAATTTATTCCACACTATCTTGTGTTGTGAAAACTTGCTTATATCAACTTGAGAAAACTTTGCTCAAACATTTTGCTTTAATAAATTATGTATAAAAAGGGATTGAGATTATAAATTAGACATAGATAGTATAAGTTCCATTAAGAAATTAGCATTTGATCTATGTTTTAATTTATAGGTATATGTGGATTAATTAATTTGCTCAGGTACTGGCATGGATGGAAGAATTGCACACTTTTGTAGCATCATTCAATTAATTTAATTTGGAAATGGAAATCAATATGCAAATATAAATTTCTCTAATTATTTTATTTTCATGAGAGTAAGGGATGAGATTGGTTGCTTTGAATAAAATATATGTTTAAGCTAATTTTAGCAAAGTGTTGTCGTAATAATATTTGCGTTCATATGTTTAGGTTTAGAGAGAGAGGTTAAGGCAGAATATTTTCTCTAATTCGAAGCTCCAAAAATATTCCCTCAATTTGAATATTATCAACAATTAAAGATTTATTATTTTTGAAAAATATAATATCTTTATGTATATGAATAGATTTTTTTTTAAATCGAATGATAACTCTACGTTTCAGAAATATAGGACGCACCCAGAAACATTGAGGAATATAAATAAATAAATTTATATATATATATATATATATATATATATATATATTAATTACTATATCTATTACAACTGGTAAATAGTATAACATCTAGTAGCATAAGTGAATAATAACAAATATAAATAAAATAGAGTACAAAATGAAGGATGGTATTTTCATTAGAATGATATCCGTATTATGAAGATTTAATATAAAATAAAAGCAAATAATGATAATTAATTAATAAATAAAATTTGTGGATAATAAAAATAATACTAGAAAAACAATAAAGTAGAATAAAAATTGATTATTGATTAATTCTTGGTGAAAACCTTAATTTTTATTTTCGAAATTAACAAGTAAAAATGTCATTTGAATAGTTGAAACTCAACGCTTATTGATTAAGTCAATTATTTACATTAATCGAAAAGTTCATTCATACTATTATAAATATAAAATGCATCTTGCATTCTTCATTACACATTACTTGGAGTTATGAAGATTTTGAAATTTATGAGTATGTTTCTCTCAAAAATCCAAATTATGCCCTTCTCCATCAAGAAGTATACTCGTCAATCACAGTTAACTGGTTAATTCAGAAAATTTCTATGATCTAGTCTAGCCTATAATCTATGATCTATTCATACCTTAGATATGAGTTCGTCATGGCTCGCAAGGTGCGCTCTGCAGTGAACGCACGAATATGTCCGGTGGGCTGGTGGAAGATATTCCTGGAACGTCTTCACCATGGTGCCGTTCGCTCTAACCTTTGCTTGAATAGGTGAGGACGGAGACACGAAACCTCCTGTCTGACTGCCACTAGTGTCAAGCGATTCGTCGGCGCTTCGTGAACTACAACAACCGCAAAATGTTCTACTGAAAGCTGAAATAAGACTCCAGCGCACTGGGCCTACGACTCCGTTACCACCGCCACCTCCTCGACCAACCCCTCCTCCTGCTGCTGCTTCGTGCCTACCAGCTCCGCCAACTGTAAACGACATATCAATATTAGCTGATAATTAACACTTTCGGGACGGCACCTTTTTCAAAACAATCTACTTTACCAGCTGTAAACTTGATTTCATTGTGTATGTTATGCAATTTGTTTGATAAAAATTTGTGGTCATTGAAGGACATACATTTTTAATATTAATTTATTTTTGATTATTTTATGAAGAATGGTGACGTTCAAAACAATTTTCAAAATGCATAGTTTGGTCGATTTTGACATGTTTTACAATAAAATGTTGTTCGCCGCCTCCTGTTGGTGCTTTTCTGTCAGAACAGACAATATAATCCCTTTTTCTTTTAGAATTTAGAATATGCCACTGATTAGTCAGTATATTTGGTCATTTTTTTGCTGCCATAGTTTTTTTATTATATTGTCTAAAAATTCATTTGTAAAATACTATAGGATGTCTCATATTGCTTGGTATTTGTAGTCGAAGTGTTTGTTGATGTATGTCAAACTCGATTATTGAAGAAAAATCGGCACATTCGCTAATGTCTTTCCACTCTTCATTTAATTTGTAGGACTTCTTCTTTTTGTTGGTTGGATAATAGCATCATCACATTCATCACTATTTTCGGTGCGAATAGTAATTTCGTAAAATTTGTCTGTATGAATGTCTATTTGAAACTCATCTTCACTACTACTTAATTCACAAAATTTACCAGTCGTTTTGCATATTTAAAAGCGCTCGTTCATTTTAAATATTAAAAAAAGACTATATGAAGGCTAAAACTACTATTAAAATAACTTAACATAATTTTCAAAATAGAACACTGTTTATCATTGCTATATGTAATTTATTCAACTTTTCGATGCAAAGTGAGTCATTGTTTATAAAATAGCATGTGCCTCACAGAGTATGTTTGTTGACTGAGGTGGACAGCCGTCCCCAAAGTGTTAATACGAAGAATACACCATTAACCCATAATAATAGTACAGTAAAACCTCGTTTATCCGGACCTCAGTTATACGGATTCGAGATTATTTGAACTACCAACCACGACCAATTTATGTTATTATTTATATGAAAATATGTATGAACATACATAAGAAAGTGTTAATTTCTTTCATAAACATTCATTTTCGTTGATATCTAGATATGTATTTGTTATCTTCAATGAATACACAACAGTGTTCTTCATACATTTGATTATCCGAATGCCCATCGACAACATTAGTCCGATTCATCGAGTTTCTGTATATAAAAATTCCCACAGCAACAAACTATTTTGGATGATCTGTTCAAGACTGAAGAAATTATGCTCGATACTAATCTATTCGATTTTTTTCACATAACAAGAAATTAAATTAAACGTAGAGTTACTAAACCCAAACATCACACCCATCTTAAACAACCAGTAACTTCGAATTTTTTGCCAAACAAGCTATCAATATATTCTACATCAAATAATTTAATATTTTTTAATATGATTCAATATTTTTCTATATGTGAAGTAAAAAATAAATTTCAATTCAATTTATTTCCAGAATTTAAGATTATCATTGTATTATGTGTCTCAACAGATCTGATATAGTTGTCTATCTAAAGAATTGGCGCCTAAAATATCACTATAAAATATAACTTTGATTTCAAAGTTGCAAGCAATGCGGTTATAATTTTTTTTGAAAACTAATAAATAATAATAAAAACTTGATAATTATTTATTTTCAAGTAATTTGAAGTAAAAATTAAATGTGTAAGTAAAGATCATTCAGAATCATCGACTTTAGGCTTAGGCAACACTATGTTATCCGGATTTATACGGTTGCACATTATAAAGAAAATTTATATTAAATAGCTATTTCATATTCAAATTATTTAATTACGAAACTTTTATAATTTGTGGTCAAACCTGCAAGTCAATTAGTAAAAAAATAGCGTAAAAAATAGAGTTTTATTATAAAACCTTTGCAAAAATGCTAATTAAAATCTAAGCAAATGTTATAGAAATCAAAAATATTAGACACCAAAACAATCTATATCTACCACACGTGATGCGCAAAAAAGAATTTTTTAACTCATTGCTGTCGTATGATATATAAACAATCAAATGGTAAAATTTAGAAAAGGCTAAAACACTCGATGATAATACTTATTAATTACTAAATCAATATTAATAATCAGCGTAATTACTTAACTTCCTGAAATTGTACAACCTTGAATATGCTTGCGATTAGCGGACACTTATAAGTACATATCACGTATGCAGGTTAAAAACTATATCAATGGCATATTCCTGCGATAGATATTTTCAAATAAAATTAGAATTCACACAATTTTTCATTTATCACATGAAATAGGTATGTATATTTATTTCAATAATATCAGTAATATGTGTAAATATGAATAAGACTGTATCTATAATATGCATTTAATATTTTATCAATCAATTTTTTGTTCATGCATACCCCTTCGTCCATAGAAGTGGAGTTATATCCATACATGTATACATGCGTTGTGAGTGTTATTTTGCCATAAAAAGGGGTTCTGAGGATTAAGTTAATTATCAGTGTGGGTTAAAGGAATAAAATTTTTAAGACAAAGAAATATTTTGAATTTACAGAATAATAGTTTATGAAAGAAGGGTAAACGATTATACCGAAAACAATTGAAAAAATACAAACCAAAGAAAGAATATCGTACACAATGCATCTTATATGTTATTAACTTCCCGTAGGGTAAGTTATAGTAATCGCAAAAAAATCGAAAATAAAAATTTTTATATATCTTTACGTTTCAGAGGTTCCTGAATATTTTGGCATACCTTAGAAAAAATGGATGTATGTGTGTGTGTGTATGTATGTGTGTGTGTGTGTGTGTGTGTGTGTGCGGATACGTCGTCGATTTCGGGAACACGGATGAAGCGATTTGAATAATTCAAAAAACATTCGATTTGTGTTGATAAGGAGACGTGCTGATTAGTTTTTGGCGGAGGCAGGTCTAGCCGTTCCGAAGATATGGGGCAAGAAGTGCCAAAAACGGTACCTCAGTTTTTAAGAGAACGGGGGTCCAATTTAATAATTCAAAAGCATTTTACTGTATTGACAAGATGAAGAATTGGTCAAATTTCATGAAGGTAGGTCTAGCGGTTTCGGAGATCTAACAAAAAAAGAAAAAAAAAAAAATGCCATCTGGCGGATAAAAATGATCATTAGAAATATGCACATCAAATTATCAGATATTTTATAGAGATTTTAAGAATAAGTATAAATTTTGTTTACATTCCTATGGGTTCCGTATCAATGTTTATTCGTTAGACTGCAACGCGGCGCTATGCGCTTTATATTTTGTCTCTATGCAGTTAAAGCAGTATGATTGCTTTGAAAAAAAGTTCGAGTCTTCCAAAATATGTCAAAATAAAGAAACATTTTTTAAAAAAAAAATTAAAAAAAATTTTTTTTTAATTTTTTTTTTGAAAAAAGTAATTTTTGTCAATTTATAGTTTCTCAAAAATCT